CACCTCGACGTCAGCGTGTGTAGCTGCCAGGTGCGACACCGTCTTGACTGCCTTTTCAAAATGCTTCTCAAATCTTTCACCCAGGTCGTGGGCCAGATGCGCCGTGAGACTAAGCAGCGGCTCTTGGCTGAATTTCTCGCCCTTTTCGATGTATTCTACGAGTAGCTCGAATATGCGATCGCTGTGGTGGAGGACCTGCGGGAGGCTGTCGCATAGTGGCGCGACTTTGCGGGCGAAAGTTGTGAAGCCTTCGGACATGTTGAGCTCCCTCCACTCCACGAAAGAGTCGCGGAAGTAGGAGAATGTAGATTCGAGTTCGGCATCGTCGAGGATGGTGCGGCGACCGCGGCGAATGGGCTCGATTTTGAGCTGGGCAATGCGCTGGGTGAAGCCTTTGAAGACATGGTTGCGCGTCGATTCGGTGCCGCCCTTGACTCTTTTCTGGGGGCGCGTCGGCTTTGCTACCTTGGATTTGGGCTTTGCAGCCGGCTTGGTGGTAGGGCCCCGTGACATGGCGGCCATAGTGTGGTGGGTGGTGTGGTGTTGAAGGCCGCGCCGTGGCTGTCTCTGCACTCGATGATGCTCCACTAGAATTTCCTTGCGCTAACAAAAAAGCTGGACCCTGGCACCACCGAGGTCTCCGACGCGCCAATCACCCATTGTCAACACCACGCGTCTGCAGTCCAACACCCGACGTATTGGGATAATATCAGCAGGAAACAAGAGGCAATCCAAGACAACACGGCCCTACCAAGCTTCAAAAGTCGCGAAACTACCTTCTGATCGCGTGTGCTACCACATCAAGCATCAGCTGATTCACCGGCTACGTCATTCGGAATGGCCTCAAAAATGTAAGTCCAATGCAATGTCAGCGTGTTATATCCTTCTGACGTGTGCAGTGTCGTCGTTGGCGGCGTCAACGGCCAATTCAAGACTGTCTTCCAGAAGCTGGGCGCGTTGCACGCGAAGAACAACTTCGCTTTTGCCATAGTTGCAGGCGATTTGTTTGCAGCTTCACTCGAGGCTGAAGGCACGGATGCAGCCGATGTGCAGGCACTCGTGGATGGTAGCATCGACGTACCATTGCCAACATATTTCGCTCTTGGCAACCATCCACTCCCGCCAGCAGTAGGTCAAAAACTAGAATCAGAAGACGAAGTATGCCACAACCTCTTCTTTCTAGGGAAGCGGACGACTATGAAGACGTCTGAAGGAATCCGCATCGTCGCGCTAGGCGGGCAACTTGACCAGAACATCGTTGCCGGTCAATCCAAAGACAAGTACCCGCCATTCTACACCGAGACGGATGCGAAAATCCTACGAGGAGCAACCACAGCCGACATTCTGATCACCAACGAGTGGCCAGAGGGCATTCGAAAGCGTTCCAAGGTCGAATTCAACCCGGAGGCACAGCCGTCCATGCGACAGTGCATCGCCGATCTAGACGTGATACTGAAGCCCAGGTACCACTTCTCAACGTCAGGAAACACCTTTTACGAACGGGAGCCATTCTTCCATCAGCCCAGTGATGACACTGACAACCTCTACCCAGTCACTCGATTCATTAGCCTCGCTTCCTTTGGCAACCCGAATAAGCAGAAATGGATATACGCCTTTTCTCTTGAGCCTTCAGCAAGCCATCCTGTCTCACCACCAGCTGGCTCAACTGCTTGCCCTGTGACCCTCTCAGAGAGGAAGCGGGGAGCACAGGAGCACCGCGAACAGCACCTTGTTTACGATGACGGAAGTCGTGGCCGGAGAGGCAACAAAAGACGCAAGGGCGAATCCCGCGGGCCGATTACAGCATCAGAGTGTTTCTTCTGTCTAGCAAACGAAAACATTGCGACACATCTGGTGGCTTCAATCGGCGAGAACTCCTACCTGACCACAGCAAAAGGTCCATTACCGACATCACAGACATATCCCAAACTTGGCTTCCCAAGCCATATGCTCATTATTCCCTTCTCGCACCAAGCCACCCTCGGCTCCATGGAAGAGGAGGAACGTCACGCGACCTACGCAGAGATGCAGCGATACAGACGCGCGATGAACAGCATGCTCAAGTCCGTTGCGGACACCGAATATGGCTCTGTCACTTGGGAAGCCAGCAAATCCAGCTTACCACACACGCATTGGCAGTATCTCCCAGTAAGTGCCGATCTCATCAGTAAGGGACTCGTCGAAGCTGCCTTTAAAGCGCTGGCTGAGAATCTACACTGGCCAAAGTTCGAGAAAGAAGATGTTGGAGATGGATTCGAAGAAACAAGCGACTTCTTCAGGGTCTTGGTGTGGAATTCAAAAGATGATCCTGACAAGCAGACGAGCTATGTTATGCGCTTTGACGAGAAGATCCGTTTCCATAATCAATTCGGACGTGAAGTATTGGCAAAGCTATTGAGGCTCGACAACCGCGTTGACTGGAAGAACTGCGGACAAACCCAAGCCCAGGAAGAGCAGGATGTTGAAAAGTTCAAAGAAGCGTTCAAGAATTTTGACTTCGCTGCATGATACCCGCCGTCACCGGTTTACACGCACATGTCCAAATCATAAGATGGTGGTCGACATGGACACAGGGGTTTTCTACATTGTGCGTCTCACGAATGCCTGTGTGGTAGCAGTATAGGCCTAGTCTTACCTCCAACTCGAGATCGACCCGTCAGCCAAGTCTTTAAGCTCCGAGGTCGCTGCCAACATACTCGAAACGGCAGTTCTCACAAAGAGTGTCCAACACAGCACTAAAGGGTTGGCATACCAAGCTCCGGTCTCGCCCGGCTTGTTCCCGAGCCGCCGAGGTGTCTCATCTTCGTCGGCGTTCGTCGCGCAGTGTTCAAAGCATTGAGAAGTCTTCGCTTTGCAGCATCAGCTCAATATCTAAAACTTGTGTATATTGGGGTCTGCGCCATCCTGACAACGCTTCACCAATTATGGCTTGGCATTTCCTGTTGAGGCTAACAGCTTTCTTCTTCCAGCCAAGACCGATGCTTGGCCCCACGTGTAGCATGAAGCGGGGCAACTACCAATCAATCTATCTCAACTACTTTCTTACCTCCTAGGTCATTTGAAGTGCTTCGGTCCCCTCCATCTCACGTTTACTATTCCTTATCTTCCATTCGCTCTACTCGATCACGCAAATGGATAACGTCCCGAACCGCAGGAAGCGCCGGTACGTTCTCGGAGTTTTCATTTAGAGCGCCAATCAAGATGACGATCTACACCCAAGCCCATGCACCCTGCGCCCTATCACACGTCGCGATAAGAGCACCTGCGATCATCCGCAACTTTGTTTGTTACAATAGTGATCTTGCCTCCTGCCACTCATGTCTACGCTACTATGCAAGTCATGCAAGTAGGTCGGCCCCGGGCCCCGCGAAAGGAAGGCAAACCACTCGTGGTGTGTAGCGGGCGTGTAAACATGGCCGATCAGGTACACATCCCCAATGGGTAGATGATGGGCATAGTGTCGGTGACTTGGCTATCAACTCCACCTGCCTCTTTTGGGTCGTGAGAGTGGTAGCGCATGTGTCCAGTAGCCTTGGTGGTGCGAAGACCGGGTTTGCGGTACAGAAGCAAGGGCAAAGGAGTATACGATGGGCGTGGTGCTTATCATTGGATTTGACGATGTGTGAAGTGGAAACCGCCGGACACGGCTTTGGAAAAGAAAAGTATATAAGCGCCTGCCACGTCGTGTCGTAACGAGAAGACAAGCCATAGACAGCACAAAGCCGTTCTACTTCATACCGCAACCTCCTCCCTCGTACGACCTCAGTCGCTTCTCTTCCAACACATCACCATGAAGGCTTCCATCTTCGTCGCTGTGGCTTCAGCCGCTCTTGTATCAGCAGCCCCAGCCCCAGCTGTTCTTGACGCTCGCGCTCCTCCCAACGTTCCCAGCAAGTCGGCCGCGACTACACAGCTCGCTGGACTTACCGTTGCCGCTCAAGGTCCCCAGACTGGTTATTCTCGTGATCTGTTCCCTCACTGGATCACTCAGTCCGGAGCCTGCAACACACGCGAGACAGTCCTCAAGCGTGACGGCACCAACGTTGTTACCGACTCTGCTTGTGCATCAACCTCTGGATCCTGGTTCAGCCCTTACGATGGCGCTACCTGGACAGCAGCCAGCGATGTCGACATTGACCACATGGTGCCCTTGAGCAATGCCTGGAAGGTTCGTTTCCCTTCTCCTACTTTCTAGGGTCTCTATACTAATCATACTACAGTCTGGCGCTGCTTCATGGACTACTGCCCGCCGTCAAGCCTTCGCCAACGACCTCACCAACCCCCAGCTTCTTGCAGTGACTGACAACGTCAACCAAGCAAAGGGTGACAAGGGACCTGAGGAGTGGAAGCCACCGCTAACCAGCTACTACTGCACTTACAGCAAGATGTGGATCAAGGTCAAGAGCGTATATGCGCTGACTATTACGAGTGCGGAGAAGACTGCGCTGACGAGCATGTTGGCTACTTGCTCATCATAAGGGAAATGAAGGGTTTCGAATGATTTACCCATATTTCAATGTATATATTCACATCTTGATTGCGTTTTACAATATGCTGTCGCGTGAGCTTCTGCTTGAGGTTGATAACTTGCCTTGCATCGAATTACAGATGCATGAACCAGTCTGTATCACTTTCGTATCCTGCACTGCCAAGACGCTGCTTATATGATAGCTACGGTGTTTGCTCGCCGGCAGAACCTATGTCCTCGAGCATCTATTTCAGTACTGCGTTCTGGGACTAATCTGTTGCAGATACGAGAGCTTGAGGCTATGTACTACGTGACGTTGGCCCCTAAAGCAAGATTCGTCGTGATAAAGTTGCAACAACGTTGTATCTGTTCGCACTGTTTCTGATTTGGAATCGAACTAAAAGACCAAGGCAAGGTAGAGACAACTCGCAATCGACAGTTTGTTGTGACTTCTAGTCTTTCGGAGCTGCAAGGTCAAACATATAGCTCGAATTGCCTAGGGGAAAGCGAATGTGTATCAAAGCCAGTAGATTCAGTGCCTCTCAAAAGTGGTTGCCATGATCAAGCCTGATCTCTCTCGGTACTTTGGCCCTCCTCCATCTGCAGGCACCAATTTCCCATCTCCGTTTGCTTTGAGCGCCTCGGCCAGTGTACATTTTCCGGTATGCATGAATCCCAATCCCTCGTAGAGCTTGACTGTTGCGATGTTTTCGGGCTTAACCATGACCCGTACTCGTATTTGTTCAGGCCTCGGTCTGCCATAGGCACGTTTGTGCTCACGTAACCATCGAAAAACCTCGGAACAGAGGGACTTTGCAATGCCTTTGCCGCGGTGCATCGGTAGTATGAATAAATTTAGCATTTGCCATTTTTCTTCCTCCTGATCTGGGACTACCGGAGGCTGTTGTGCGGATTCGGGCAAACGGTGTCTCAATGGCGCATCCACAGGAGGACCAAGGAGAGTAACTTGTCCCACCCACTCGCATACCTCGTCACCTGCCAGGCTGGCAGGAGTCTTGAAAGCGCAGATGAATGTCTCACGACCAGACAGCTGTAGACGAGACTGTCAGTATCATCTCCAAAATGGGATTCGATCTCGTAAGGGTAAGAGAATGAAACGCGCGGCACGAGGGCTGAGAGACGAAGCGCCTTGTATTTTTGTGCTAGAGCTGCAACGGACTCGGGCTGAGGGTCGACGCGAAAGCATGAGTACTCAATGATAAGGTTTGATGAATAGTCTCGAGCAAATTGATTAGAACATATATGTAAAGTCCTGACAAAAAGGGGGGTCGATATATCTACCTGGAAACCTAGGTACCTAGGTAGTGTACCGTTTCCGTACTGAAATGGCCCAAAATCCATTGTCGTGCCTGTGCGCGACACGTGACAGCTGAACATCGTAAACCGTCCTAACTTGAACACGTCTCAACTATAATATCAGAAATCTAATTTGATGTGCGATTGAATTGTCGTATTGTTGACACTTAGTTTTTGTATTGCAAAGTTACAAAAACTTTCTACGTACCTAGTAAATTAGCTAAATACGTGCTCACCAAACAGGCAATTTTGCTGTAGAAGCTTACTTGTCTAAGACGAAATGACTTACTAAACGATGTGGACACAACGTCGGATATGCATTCACATTCCATCACTAATGCTAGATTCAACGTTGTACGTATAGACCTTCTCGCCTTTGCAGAGCGCTCACATATGTTCTTGCACACCATTCACAGAAGTCTGGCCGATCTTGAGATGATTCATTGATCTGCTCTTGTCACCAACAGGTACACAAGGCATATATTACTCGACCGACTATATCGATCTTGAACAAACATCGAGCACTTGCTGGAGCATTGTTCCCACAGGCTTTCCAATCTCACCATAATAGGTGCACCTCCATCTACGAGTCCTCCTCGATGTTGACAACAGTCTTTGTCCATTGGCGGGCTGGGACCTTGCGCTTGAACAGAATGTCAATCTCACGGTATGATCGGCCCTTCATCTCAGGAAGGAAGAAGTATGCAACAACGAAGCAGAAGAAACCAGTTCCAGCCCAGACGTAACCGCACTTGCCACCGAGGTTTGCCTCCTGCGTCTTGTTAGCAACATGTTGATGGCCATGTTTGGAGTGGGAAGAATTCTTACATCAGGGTTGAGCATGTAACTGGCGAGGAAAATGCAGGGAATGTTGACCACATAGTAGGCACCACGTCCGATACCGGTGGTCAGAGGCCTGAGACGAATCGAAGATGTTTCTCCAATGATGACCCAGGAAGCGGGCGCCGGTCCCAAGGTGAACAGAACAGACACAATCAGACCCAGAGAAGCCTGAGCTAGTGATGCTGCCGTGGAAACACCTACGGACGCTGCGATACCGAGAGCGATGAGGAATCCAACGTTGATGAGCGATCCCCAAACGTAGATGGTTCGTCGGCCGAGGTATGTGGTCAGAATCCAGGACAGCATGACGAAAATCGCCTGAAGAGCAGATGTGATGAGACCCAGGGCAAATGCAGTGTTTACTGAGATACCGGCCTGACGGAAGAAATAGACGGCTTGGTTGGCAATGAGGTTACCAGTCAAGTTCTGGGCCGCGTACACACCGCAAACAATCAGGGTTCGGTATCGGTCGGTGCCCTTCCAAAGTTCCAAGAGATTGGGCTCCTTGATAGACTTCTCGAGGTCGATAGTACGGCGCATCATGGCAACAGCCTCGCTAAGGTTCAGCTGACCCTTGCGTCCGAGACGTCCGACGGCCTTTTCAGCCTCTGCAAGACGTCCCTTTCGTACGAGCCACCAGGGAGACTCTGGAGCCAAAAAGATGAGGATCGCGAGAGGGGTTGGGAACATCCATTGAAGCGCAATAGGAACCCTAATTTTCTGTTAGCAAATTCGCGGTGAACACAGGAGAAGACTACGTACCTGTACGCACTCGGGTCCTTCTTGGGGTTGTAGTAGTAAGCGACACCATTGACGATGATAGCACCGATAGCCCAGAACATTTGCAACATCTGGGTAGCAGGGGCTCGCAGCTGGATTGGCGTAATCTCACTGCAGTACGCCGGTGCGTTGGCAATGAAGATACCCCATGGAATTCCCTCGAGCAATTGGGAGACGAACATAATCGGGAGCGAGTTGGCGAAGTAGAAGACGAAGATGAAAGCGTTGAGAAGCATGAGACCGGTGATGGTCGCCCAACGGTATCCGATGCGGCTGGTAAGGGGACCAGCCAGGCAAACACCAATGATAGCACCAAGGGGACCTCCCATCTGAAGCGCTGACTGCCAGCTAGCCGCGATGACCTTGTTCCATGGACGTTCCGGGTCTGGGTGGTTGAGTGGGATACCATACTGAATTTCGAAAGCGGGTAGGGCAACGAAGTTACCCATCAGAAACACACAGTAGGCCTCCATGATCTGTAGATGCTATTAGCAAGAATGCCTTGGCTGTGGGCTTCCAACGCGCGAAGACTTACGATAGTACAAGACATGACAAATGCCCAGAGAGCAGCCATGGGATACGCCTTGACAGCTTGCACCACACCCATGTCATGCTCTGCAGTCTCTGCATCCATAGCTTGCGTCTTGTAGAGAGCGGCTTGCGCCTTCTCGTCGAGGGCAGCGGAGTCATCGACGTGCGAGATGGCCTTCTCGACATGGACGTCGCCGCCATAGTCCTTGTTGGGGGCGACAGCGTCACCCATATTTGCGGATGTGGACCGGCGTAACAAAAGTGTGGGGTATAGGTGAGAGAACAATGGCAGGGCAAAGAAAAGAAGAGCAAAAGTTATAACCCGGGGAAAGGTCCCCAGCTTATAAACAGCAGAATGAAATAAACGCGGGGCGTGAATGTGACCTGGCAGAACGGCATTTAGGCAGGTTGGGATCTGTGTAGTCGCGCTTGAACCACCCCATCCGCCATCTGTTTCCCCAAGATACAACAGGTACGCACCTAGGTAGTGGGCCCCTGTCAGCGCTATGTGCACATGGAAGGAATCCGAGACACAAATTCCATCAATCACATCAACTAGCTGTCATGATGGTTCCTTGCGCGGACTTGCAAGGGCCCAAGCCGTCAATTCGGCTGTCACAACCTCGTCTTCGGAGCGCTGCTATGCGGCGAGGGCTCGTCCTAGCAGCGGACCGCTCACCAGAAGTAAACATAGCGCAAAGGGGCGCTGGGCGACGGTTTGCAGGTGGCTGTTTCTTGTCTGCTCTAGACTTCGTATCGCAGCAGCTGAAGCCTATCAAATAGCTGGTAGCAAAGCTTTGTTCCGGTGCTAAAATACGCGCGCTATATCCCCGCACCGCTTCAGGCATTTTAACTGGAGTAGACCCGTAATTTATCCGAGGCTTAACTAACGCGCCCCAGAGTGTGCTACTCCAGATTTCTCACTCCACTCATTTTCTCCACGCTGGAGGCGGGTCTGACAAGACGGCTCTTCTCCACGTTTTATCATTGCGAATTTGTTGCCGTCCTGCCACCGTTAAAACACGTCTCCCAAGAAGGTTAATTTAGACATCTCCATGCTGTCAGCTCATTCTTGCATCTTAACGTCAATATCCCAATCCTGACTTCCTTCCGCCCCATGAACCAGCTACTTGGGTATGGTCCCCGGTATTGAAATGCTCGCGTTAGTGATACCCCGAGCAGCAACGCCTTCATCTTACCCCAAAAACGGAATTGTACCGGTTCAGGCGGACGGAGTGCGAAGTCGAGCTTGGTTTCTTCCTTTACAAGCTAGCCGTGGCTTGGTACTATAAGTCTTGGAAACGTCCGCTGACGCGGAGCCGCCGCCTCGCACCACATCGCGCAAGTGCCGTTGATATTTGGCACGTGCAAACCAGTGAAACTAGGAGTGATATGCCATGGCTTATCAGATGGTTGGTCCTGGGAGCCTTGCGTATTCAAAATGCACTACTGATGATATGTACTGCGTAGTGTGCGCAGGTGGTCCTAAATGCGGGTACTTTGTATGGGTCTGCTGTTTGATTTGTGATGGCATGCTGCGAGACCTGAAGCCAGGAACTTGGGATTCGACAGGCGCGGTGGATGGTTCCGATGCAGCGGTATTGTTCTTCAGGTATTCTGCGTTGTCCCCACATTCCGACTTGGTAATCGAGATTGTCCGCACTGGAGTGTTTGGAAAAACCCCGTTCTGTAATGGGCTTCTCGTCTTCGTCGTGTACTATTTACCGGCAATCCCTTTATATTCGCCTTGTCATCGATTGCACGTGCGGCTCGTTATGAGACTAGCGCCTGGGACCACTGTATACGAAAACACGCGGATTGTACGAAGAGGAGCCTTGAAAGACACCAGTGCGGTACATGAATGAGTTTCCGGGTCGTACTTACCTAGACAGAGTCGAGTGTACATCGTGACTGCTCTCTCACGCGACTTCTGACGCGTGACCTGGTTTGCGCTGATTCACCACCAATGGTACGAGCGCAAAACATGAATCAGTTTCTTTCGGAAAACAAAATCACACTCAACGCCACTTGCGAATCCACCACACATGGTAACACGACAAAGCAATTTGACATTTGTTTCTCTGCTGGTGTTTAGGAGATTCACTAGTCAGCTGCGAGAATTCCGTCACACACGGCACGCTACTATGTCAGCTGGCCGTCATAGTCTCAACACATCGTGCAAACACGCAAACCAACCAAGGGTTGCGCTCTTACATCCGACATCATGCGGGGCGCCTGAAGTATCTCAGAGCACGAGCGCAGCGGGTTGTTGGTGGCGCCTAATATCCGGTTTGAAATAATTGGACAAGCCCGTCCGCATTTAGGTTTCCATTCATAGCGACCCTCGCAACACGACAAAAGCCAGGCCGAGGTGAAAAGCGCGCGCATTTTACCACAGGAGGGATCGCGTTACTGCAGTGAAGATGAAGTAAGCTTTCGCGCGTGCGGATGCGGCGTAAATAAGGTAGGCCTGAGTACACGTTTCTCACACACCTCAGCAGCTAGCCAAATTTGGGGGTTGAAATGCTGACACCAAACACTCAACATCCAACTTGCTCTGGTCACTCATGCCAAAGAGTTTCAAAATCAACCCAGTAGTTATTTGGATTACATTTAAAGCAATCAATGATGCTCAGATCAATCATATACAGCCAACCTTTGAATACTTGAGCACATCGTCGCCCAGGACCTGTGAGCGAAAACTGTACTTTCTGCAGGAATACCCAACTTTACCACTGCAGTTGCCGTACCAATCACATCTAGTTTAACATTTCAATCGCCAGGGAGAGACTCACAAGCCGAGGGATCAATTACATGCTACAATTCATCAGCAAAGCAGCCAGCCAAGAAGCCTCTTTCAGTGTCACAGCTCTCACTGTCACCATCGAAGG